GATTATATAATTATATTCGACAGAAAAATTTTTTGTCCATTATAGTCATTTTCGACTGTTGTTTTTACGTCAAAAATTGTTGTCAATTATGTCTGTCGATTAAGATATAATCGACAGAAATACTTGTATAATCGATAGTATTTTCTGTCGATTATACTACGTTTTTTAGTAGTGGAAAGAACACAAGAAAGGTGGTGACGGCTGAGAGTTGGACTCAAATGAGGGGTATAATAGTCAAATACTTAAAAAAGATGTGGTGTTAACTGTTGTTGCTGTGGTAATAGTATCACCCCTAAAACCTTTGACTAATACATATTATCAACAAATTATTTTTTAATTCTACACCAGTTCATATTGGGAAACAGATTTTTATTTTACACCATGTAGAATTAATTCATTAGAATAACTACTTGTGCTACCAGTTCTTTCTCCCCTTTCTCTAAAATGGAAGATATGAGAGATTCAATTGCAATGCCACAGATTGTGAGGATGGTTGTCAAGTTTCATCCATTACTAACAGTAACTAGTCTTATCTATCGGGTAATACTTTTCCAGGATTGGATAGAAGAGGAGGTGAGCACTCAATGGAAAGCACTCAAGGTGTATTTCCAATCGACAATGAGATCTTTGCTGGATCCTATTATTGAGAAGATGAAGAATCTATCAGAAGCCCTCGAAATGCATCTCCACAATGAAGCGATAAAGGGTCAACTAAAGGCCAAACTGGTTGGTAAACTTGCCATGTTCTCTACCATATTTCTTCTACTGAATACAGAGTTAAGTTCAAAATATGATAAAAGAGGAGTTAAAATGCAATTATTGATGCTTATTGGCCTTGGCCCGCTAACACATTCAAAGCATTGGAATCAATTTAAAATTCTTCGTGGAAGGTGCAGTTGCATGGTTAATTCAACATCAAACTTCATCTTCTTTATTATAGCACTTCTTTTTGCAAAATTTTATGATAATTCCTTGAGGGGCCTCAGTGCTATGTTGTGCATCTCAGTTTTTCTTCTATGTGTACTAGTGGTATTACGACCACAAACAGACCTTGGGTTGTTTAGTTTTATCATTGGAGTCATTGGATCTATTACTTACAACCGTTATGAGTTGAAGTTTCCCACATGGATAATTGCTTTCATCTGTTTTGTGTTGTTCAGTTTCAAGAGCTGGTTAGATAAGTACTGGTTGGATTTGGAAGAAGATTTTGGTACAAATACCACAACTGAAAATGCTAGTGTGTTTTCTATTTTTTCATCAACTACTATATGTTTTGCAAAAACTATCTTCATTTTTTCAGCTTTCAAATCTCCCCTATCCAACTATAAATACTTGTTAGTTAAGGTAATCATTCTTGTGCTTAATAGTCTCTATAAGTTCCATCATAATTCCCAAGATAGCTTAATGCCCTCTACAAATACCAAAGAAATCAGTGGTTTGATTTTGACAGTTGTAAACATTGCACAAGGCATGTTCAAGTTTGTTCTTATCACATCTCCCACGGCCAATTATAAAGATTGGTTATTTGTAGTAATCAGTTATGTTGTTTTTTGTTTCTGGTTACGAAGCTTTTTTCCCAAAGATGCGTTTCTGCCCTCTACAAATACCAAAGGAATCAAAGGCAAGATTTGGGCTATGCAATCTATTGCCAAATATGGTATTGTTGTGTTGGCTGGTTTCGAACCTCGAGTATACTACAGAGATTGGCTGGTTACAATAACCTGTTATGCGCTTTGGTGGGTTCAATTACGTACATCCTTTCCCAAAGATCTATCATCGCTATTCAACGCAATTGAATTTAAAGCTCAGTGGTGGATAGGGGCAGTATTAGTTAACATGCTTCCAGATGTCATATCTTGGATCAAACTATCTAGAACAACATATCATCAACAACTGCAAGGATGAGAATGTTAGACACTAGCTTATATCATAGTAAGCACTTAGATTCATGGAAATTTTTATGGTCTTGTGTCATTCTCTTTTCAAGTATATGTTTGTATCTAGTGTCCTTATTAAAATCAACCAATCATCTATAATTTTTTAGTCATTTGTGTTTTGTTCATTTGACTTTGATGCTGTTGGTCTTTTTCTATATAGATAGTAAAATGACACACTTTTATCTTATTTTAATTTAAGGAGAATGGTTGTTTTCCATCTAATTTGTACATATTAATAAAATAGGATTCTATACAACCTAACCTGCAAGTCTTGCAATATGACTATGTAAGTTGTTTTGAAGGATCAATTCCAAAGACCGTGTTTTCCTATGGACAAGAGATTTAGATTTCATTATGCAATTGGAATGACTTCATGACTTGTGATAATGCTTGAGAAGGGAGGGAGACACCCGAAGTGAGGGAGAAAGATGTTGGGGAAGCGAAGGAAGAAGAGAAGATTAATTTAGAGTGGGTCCCATTATATTAAATTTAGTTTATTAAGAAATAGTAGTTAAGATAATTTCATTTTTAAAATTATACTATAATAGGGTAAGGTTAATTGTATTTTTAAAAGGATAATAAGGTAAGGTAATTAGTACTTTGGATAGAAAAATGAGTTATTATTAAAGTGGGTGAGTCTCACCGTATTTAAATTAATTAGTAATTCTTTAATTAATATACTATCAAAATTTGTTAAAAAAACAAATACAAAAACCCATAAGAAGTCCTATGTTAACAAAGAAAAATTTAGGCTTAAAAATATCCACCTCATTACTAAAATAATTTTAGAATATAGGTTAAACTTCATTAAATGTAAAATTTTTAATTAATTTTACACAAATTTTATATCAAATTCTTATATTTTTATAAATTTTGATTATAAATGTTATATTATATTTTAATTTTACATTTTTTATTTTATTTTAATTGTTAAAATTACATAAATGTACGCTACGCTTTATTTTATTTTATTTTATCTAAATAAATAAAATTTTGTGTAAAAATAACAATAGTGGTGTTGGTGGTCCAATGGTGAAAACTTCGAAATGTGTATTGAAAGAGTGGGGTTCGAATTCTTTGTGCGCGCAAACTTGTTGAAAGTTTTCAAAACTTATGAACTGGATGGTTCATCGATTCAGAAGCCAACGAGTTTGACCAGATTTTTCAAATTTTGACCCGGTGTGACTAACTCTAACCGAATATTATTATAAATTGAGTTTGTGTCATAAGTCGAAACAATTTTGTAACCAATTTCGATTCAACAAATCGGATCGACCAATTCAATCCAAGTTTTAAAACAGTGGTATACTCTTAATCTAACCCATTAAGTTATAAATTTTTTTTGTTAAAAATTATAAATAAAAAAATTATTTGCGAAAGCATCCACTTGTGGACAACATTCAAAATGAGAAAAATGAAATGGCTAGTAAGGTAAGTGACGGTCAAATGCCAATACTAATTAAAGTCAATCCCCACTCCCCACGTCAAATAACCAAGAAGCACGGCAAATGACGATTTGACTTAGAAGGTCCACGCCAAATTTCAATACCAATAGTAGTATTAATGCAAGTTCACGGAAGGTCCACCGTGCAAGTCCCACGATGGAAGAACCAATTCACATTGCAATACTAATCAATGTCTCCACTAAAACCTTTGACTAATACATATTATCAACAAATTCCTACTTTATTTAAAAGTTAACAAATTTCTCATTTTTAAATAATAAAAAAAAAAAGATAAAACTTTTATCTTTATCTATACTTTTTTTCAAAATTTGAACCCATGCACTCTTGGACCAGAGGCTAAAACTTGCGCCTTGGACTGCTTGGCCAAACTATCATTGCCAATAATTGGAAAATTTTAATTGTAGTTAATTAACTTTAATAAATATTTATAGAATGGAAACCCATTTATACATTAAATTATAGGAAAATGATGTGTGCACACCCGGATCCAACACCCGGGTGTGCACACATCATATATAAAAAAAAAATGCCCATCATCTGGTCCACCGCACAAGTCCCACCAAGGAAGAACCAATTCACGTCCCAATACTAATCAATGTCTCTACTAAAAACCTTTGACTAATACATATTATCAACGAATTATTTTTGAATTCTACACCAACTCGTACAGGGGAAATAGACTTTTATTTTATGCCGTGTAGAACTAATTCATCGTAGTAACCACCTGTGCTACCAGTTCTTTCTCACCTTTCTCCTAGATGGAAGCTATGAGAGATTCAATTGCAGTGCCATGGATTGTGAGGATGGTTATCAGGTTTCATCCATTATTGACAGTAACTAGGCTTATTTATTGGGTAATACTTTTGCAAGATTGGATTGAAGAGAAGGTGAGCAATCAATGGAAAGCCCTCAAGGTGTATTTCCAATCAACAATGAGATCTCTGTTAGATCCTATTATTGAGAAGATGAAGAATCTATCGAAAGTCCTCGAGATGCATCTCCACAACGAAGCGGCAAAGGGTCAACTAAAGGCCAAACTAGTTGGTAAACTTGCCATGTTTTCTGCCATATTTCTTCTAGAGAATACAGAGTTAAGTTCAAAATATGATGGAAGAGGAGTCAAAGTGCAGTTATTGACGATAATTGGCCTTGGGCTGTTAAGACATTCAAAGCCTTGGAGTCAATTTAAAATTCTTCTTGGAAGGTACAACTGCATGGTAAATTCAACATCAAACTTCATCTTCTTCATTATAGCACTTCTTTTTGCAAAATTTTACGATAATTCCTTGAGGGGCCTCAGTGCCATGTTGTGCATCTCAGTTTTTCTTCTATGTGTACTAGTGGTATCACGACCGCAAACAGACCTTGGGTTGTTTAATTTTGTCATTGGAGTCATTGGATCTATTACTTACAACCGCTATGAGTTGAACTTTCCCACATGGATAATTGCTTCCATCTGTTTTGTGTCATTCAGTTTCAAGAACTGGTTAGATAAGTATTGGTTGGATTTGGAAGAAGATCCCTGCACAAATACCACAATTGAAAGTGTTAGTGTGTTGTTTATTTTTTCATCAACAGTTACATGTTTTGCAAACAGCATCTTCATTTCTTCTACTTTCAAATCTTCCCTATCCAACTATAAAAACGGGTTAGTTAAGGCAACTGTTATTGTGCTTTATAGTCTCTGTAAGTTCTATAATAATTCCCAAGATAGCTCAATGCCCTCTACAAATACCAAAGGAATTAGTGGTTTGGTTTTGACAGTTGTAAATATTGCACAAGGCATGTTCAAGTTTGCTCTTATCACATTTCCCATGGCCAATTATAAAGATTGGTTATTTATAGTAATCAGTTATGTCATTTTTTGTTTCTGGTTGCAAAGCTTTTTTCCCAAAGATATGTTTCTGCTCTCTACAAATACCAAAGGAATCAAAGACAAGATTTGGGCTATGCAATCAATTGCTAAATACGGTATTGTGGTGTTGGCTGGTTTTGAACCTCGAGTGTACTATAGAGAATGGTTGGTTACGGTAACCTGTTATGTGTTTTGGTGGGTTCAGTTACGTATGTCCTTTCCCAAAGATCTGTCACTTCTGTTCAACACAATTGAATTTAAAGCTCAGTGGTGGATACTGTCAGCATTAGTTTACATGCTTCCAGATGTCATATCTTGGATCAAACTATCTAGAACAACATATCATCGACAACTACAAGTATGAAAATATTAGACACTAGCTTAAATCATAATAAGTACTTAGATATATGGAAATTTTTATAGTCTTGTGTGACACTATTTTCAAGTATATGTTTGTATCCAGAATCCTTATTAAAATCGACCAATCATATGTAATTTTTTAGTCATTTGTGTTTTATTCATTTGAATTTCTTGCTATTGTTCTTTTTTTTTTTTTCTTTTATATAGATATCAAAATGGCACACCTTTATCTTATTTTAATTTACGGAGAATGTTTTTTTTTTTTTTTCCATCTAATCTGTGCATACTAATAAAATTGGATTTTGTACAACCTAACCTACATGCCTTGCATTATGACTGTGTAAGTTGTTTTGAAAAATCAATTCTAGAGAAATCGTGTTTTCTTATGGAAAAGAGATTCATATTTCAATATTATGAAATTGGCGAATGACTTCATGACGTGTGATAATGCTTGAGAAGGGAGGGAGGTGCCCGAAGTGAGGGAGAAAGATGCTGGGGCAGGGGAGGAAGAAGAGAAGATTAATTTAGAGTTGGTCCCATTATATTAAATTTAGTTTATTAAGAAACAGTAGTTAAGATAATTTTATTTTTAAAAGTATACTGTAATAGAGTAACGTTAATTGTATTTTTAAAAGGATAATAGGGTAAGGTAATTAGTACTACTCCAGTGATTAGGATAAAAAACAAGTTATTATTAAAGTCGGTGAGTCCCACCATATTTAAATTAATTAGTAATTTTGTAATTAACATACCATCAAAATTTGTATAAAAAAAAATACCATCAAAATTCGTATAAAAATAAAAAATAAAAACCATAAGAAGTCCTATATTAACAAAGAAAAATTTAGGTTTAAAAATATCCACCTCATTACTAAAATAATTTTCAGAATTTCCATGTACTATTTTAGGTTTAAAATTTTGCATTTTTGGGTCACTTAACTATCCTTCTCAGCGGAAAATTAAAGATTAAGGATGATTTTAGTAGTTTTTGAACTTTAAGTATCAACTCAGTCCAAAACTTAGAGTCAAGGGACCAAAATAGTGATTTAACCTAAAATTTTTTCACCCATTGATGGTTCTTTGGAGTCTCACACAACATGATCAATAGTTATTATAAATACGTCTTAAATCATGATTTTAATTAGGCGTGTCATTATTTCTGTTGTATGCCCATCATTCAACATACAAATAAAATTTTTTTTTGGCATTTAATATCTTTTCTTTTCCTTTTTTTTATTTTTCAATATGTATCACATTTCTAGTTAATCTCTCATCAGTAGTTTAAGATAGATATACGTTTGCAACCATTTATTTTTCAAGTTTTCTTAATTATAACGAGTCAACCACACATATTAAGAAAACTTATGTATATGTCTTATCTCGGAAAAAATATATAAAAGAAAAAGTAAGGACTTTTCCTGCTTTTTCTCTCTTTGTATTGGCACTAGAAGAAGAAAAACTGATATCAAAATACAAAAATCGGGATTTTCTTTTTCTTTTTCTTCCCACTAAATTCTTCAACAAGAGGAGCGCTTCATTGCTGCATATTTCTCATCCATATATATCCTCCATAAATAAGAAAATAAAGGTAATGGAAGGCAAAAAGGCTTACTTCACTGAATTGCATGTAATCTATCAACAACAACAACCATCAACAACAACCAATGGAAAGTGACTAGACAAATCTGAACCAGCGCTTGATTCCCCCCATGAACAAGGTTGTCTTCTGTGTCGATGAGGACCAGCTCCTGCCTGATCAAGCGTCAAGCGGGAACCGATTGTCTGGCCACTTGGGATATGCACGCTTGCATAAGTTCAAGCATACGGTGTCATGCTGCTGAAGGACCCCAATGAATACACATTTCATTACCCCTGAGAAAAACCAAAAAGTCAGTCCTTAACACATTTGGAAAGATCAACGTAATCCTGACAATCATATATTCTTTATAGTCAATACCGTTCCCAATTTGTCTTGCAGGTCATTCTTGTCTAGAGAGAATTTAAGATAAGGGCACAATATTGTCTTGGATAATCATATCACCGGTCATGAATATGTCATCCAATGCATGCTTGCATCTTATCATCTTTCATATATCGGTACTCTTTGACCCTAACCAAATCAAATTTGCAAGTTCCTTTGATTCTTCGATGAAATTCATGTAAGCCTTGCTTTTATCAATTGTGATCTATTGTTGGTTTACTAAAATTGGCTGCATATTGTATTTTTATGGGAGAAAAAAAATTTGTTCTCCATTTTGGAATTTTGTCAATGCGATCCTCCTCTTGTGAGTTACCGTTTTCATAATGATGACTGCAATACCTACGTAGTTGGCGACACTATATTGTATTAGTTATTTTACTAATGCTAAATGGATCCCATATTGTTAGGAACCCTCGGATTATGCACCTGGCATACAAAAGAACGTATCTGGCAAAGTTATCAGGTGGAATATTAATGTCTCTGGTCCTGAGAGGATAGATGCTAAAAAGTACATTGAGTTTCTAGAAGCAGAGATTGAGGAACCAAATCGTTAAGTTGGTAGAAAAACTGCAAATGGACAAAATGAGCTATTGGAATATCTCAAGTGTCTCGAGCAACAAAATCTGGAGGTAAATGAAGCTATTTACTTTAAATATTAATTTCGTGTTATATCTCCATTGCCTTTGTTGTCTGCACTTGGCACTTGACTGCAGATTCAAGGTTTTCCGCTCCCCTAAATATCCTTCATTGACTGTGATGGGAGCTTCCGATGATGTTATGGCATTTTGAACTTGTATTATTTGTTGTTCTAGGAGTTGACTAGTAGTGCTGGTGAGGATGTGTGCTTGCAATGAACACATTCGTCAAGCGTTTTCTGGCTGTTTCAGATCGTAGCCAAATGAAGGCGGTTCATTTACCATCATGATCATCTTTACTGTCTATTCTTCTTTTCTTCATTTTTTTTGTTCCATATATTCTTGACATTAAGGTTTAAATTTTCATTATTTTCCCATATTATCAAACAACTATCTAAAGGTTTTCTAAAATAAGATTATTTTGTTGAATGTGTAGCTAAAACCATACTCCATGCACACACACATATTGATAATAGAGAAGAGAGAAAACTGTTTTTCAGCAAAAGTGCCAATCTGGACTAAAATGACTAAGAGACCGATAACATTATTCTTTTCTAGTCATTTATTCTAGTCTAGACTAAAATCAATATTTTCTTGGAAATAACTCGGTTCTATGCATGAAGAAATTAATCGTCTTCTGAGATATAATAATCATGCCATTTTATTTGACATTTGATTTCTTGTTCTTAATTTCATTTTTGATGTGTGTTGCAGACAAGCGTAACAGAGACAAGTGCCTCAGAACTTGCCAAGCTTCTTTACTGGCTGATGGTGGTTGGATACAGCATCCGAAATATTTAAGTCCGATTTGACATGGAAAGAGTACTTGGAACTACTCCAAAGCTTGGAGAGTTGCGTCCAGGGGAAAATATTTAGACATTTTGCATAACAATAGAGGATATAGCGAAGTTGGAGCATATTGATCTGAATGCCTCCTAGCGTATTAAGTTTGTGGCTTGCGGGAGGAAAGGCTAATATTTGATAATGTGCGGACAGGATAACAATTTTGAAATCTTTTATCGGTAATTTTGACATGGTTCAATCATACACACGTGGATGAATCACGCAACATCTTTAGCAGATGTTTAAGTGGTTAAGAGCAAATTTTTAAAAACCAGATTGGATCAGCTGGTTGAACTGGTCGGACTGGCAACGGTACCATAAATGGGTCGGATAAATGCTTGGAATCGATAAAGAGGTTGAACCATTTAAAACTGACAGAACCACTCGAACCGATGTAAACCATTAAACCATTCAACCGAACAGTTTAAAGTTCTTGAAAATTTTCCTTCAGCTTTGTGTCCTCCAAGGCTCGAATATAAGACTTCAAAAGGATTTTCAGTCACTTCCGCCACTAAGACATGACCTGTTGGGTTGAAAAGGGACTTTTATTTATTTTACTTTTAGGAGGAATAGAATTGCTTTCCAACACAATCCAACTTTGAAAATTAATATAATATTTATCTAATTGGTATTTTAAATATACAAATTAAAAATATAATA